AGACTGGGGATATGGCTGGCCATTGGTATACTCATATATGTGTTCTATGGTATTTGGAACAGCAAAATGAGGGACTATGTTCCTAAAGCACCAGTAAAGCACACTCAAATAGAAGTCAAGAAAGGAAGTGTTAACGGTACTAATAACAGTGTGATTTATTAAACATAAATTTTTTTTGATATAAATACTTTTACTTTTTGCTGACATAAATGAAAAACAACAAAACAAAATGATAAACTAGATCATAGTAGATAGACACTCCAAGGAACCATTATGGTACAAAGACCAATGAAAGATCATAATGATATACTGACAAGGGTTTAATTATACTCGTGATAATAATAATAATAAATAATAATAATCAGGGGGCCCTTCAATCAGTTGCAAGAGCACTAAACTTGTTGTGTAGTGGTAGTTCAGTGTAGTCCTTCATGACTGGAGGAGGTTTCGGACTGTCACTACAAATTAAAAAGGAATAAACTTATTAAAGTGAGCTATTAAAAGAATGTAAACCAGCTGAGAGACTATACGAACTCCATTTCTACAATTCCATTCTAATTTAGTAATAAGTAACTGCAAATTTTAAATACAGAGGATGATTGTGCTTAGCTTATTCTGCTTTTCTATCATGCAAGATTAAAGACCATCACTCAGTATTAATCTTTCACTAAACACTCCCTCATTAAATTCATTAAAAGTAGACCATGCGTACTCTTATCCTCTCACCCTTTAGTGGCCACTGTTAGTGAAGGGAACGCTTGAGTACTGGATAAATCAGGAGGAGCTCCTGTTGGGTGTGGCTTCCTTGTTGCTTGGCGGAGACTAGGTGGGATATATCGACCTCCGGCTGTGTTATCGGCTAAACTAGTGACAGTTGTTGTTGGCTTTGCTACAATTGAAAGAGAAAACATCATTCATTAGTTTATAATAGTACTATTATTGGCACACAATGAAAGCAAAGTAACCACTTACTGGCACTCGTTATTTTAAACTCTATAAATTTACCTTCTACTTGAGTGCTTGTGCTAGATACTGGTTGCCATGGCGATGCGACAGAGCTCCTACTCACTATCTTAGTGTCACTCTCTACAACAAAAATAAAAACAATAACAACAACAACAATTCAACAACAATAAAGATGATGTTTATCCAATAACTTGATATTAAAAACACAGTAATTATTATGACTAATATTACAATTAATCTTAATTATTAAATTATAATTATTTAATATTATGCAATGCTTTTGGTCACTACTCAATAAATTACGTTACATTATTTACTGACGTTTAACTTCAGTATCATTGCTAGTTGATTTCTCATCCACCTTTTCACTCGAATCTCTATTCAAAATTAAAATAATTAATTTTAATAATTAACATTAAAAGGAGACTCACTCGTCTGTCAACAGCGCCACTCCCTGTATCTCCTCTGGGTTGATCTCAACATTGGAACCTTTGGACTCCAGCCATTCAGAATCCTACAATGAATCAATAGTAATGGTCTAAACACACAGAGACACCCTCTACCTCAGGTGGGTTAGATAGAGCCACTACAATGGGCTGGGTCTTCTCCTCCTCTTGCTTAGGCTGTCCCAGCTCAGCAGCGTCCTCTAGGTTCTGTAGGGTCGGCTTCTTCTTCTTTTTCTTGCCTTTCTTGGCAAAAAAACCATCCAAGTCTGCCATGCTGCTGTACCGACACAATATTTAATTAATGATGGGCAGTGCCACCCCTCCCACAAAATGGCTGCACAAAGTTAGTTTTAGCAAAATTACGGAGTTGCACGGAAATTATCATTCTTAAAGAAATCATCAATTTTATTTAAAGTTCTCTTTATATTTAGAGGCCTAGTTTAGTACGACGCCAGTGCCTTCTCTTGGCATTATATCTAAAAAATATATAAAAATTAATAAAATGGTTTGAAAAAGGTACCTAATACGATTGTTAGTCCTCATCCTAATCCACTGTGGAATGGGACGGTTCTGTCTCGCCTTTTTTGCGAGTATCTTCTTAATTTTAAAACTTTTATGAGAGCCCTAGAAGAGAGAGAGCAGTCACAGCAAACAAAGAAACACACTTACCATTTTCTAAAACACGTGCAGAAGAAAAAATTACGGAACACAAACCCGTAATTTATTGGTGGTAAGGAAGTATGCGGAATCTAGGATACTCCACAATTAAAAAAGGTGTGGCTAGTACCAAATTGGAGGAGAAAGAGATGCACATACACATTCCGTCCATTTCTGATGCCCTCGACAGCAAAGGGAGCAAATTCAAGGTAAAGAAGAATCTCTACAACTTTAAAAAGTTTCCCCCCTCCCCTTAGGTGTTTGATATATACGTTAACGGGCTTTATCACGGCTCAGTTAGGTATAGCCAACTACTCGATCTACACAATGAGGTATATAATCCTATTGAAATGGGTGCACTATTCACTAGCTAGCACCTGTAGGTAAAGGTTAAGTACAGTTCTGCTACTATAGTGGATTTCCCAGCCAAAGTGTTTATGATAAGCGAGGCACAGCTCCATGAGAGACGGAGAATGCTTGAAAGATACGTCCATTGCTGTAAGGTTTATGATCTTTGTATGTATACATATAGCGTACACCTCCATTTAACAGACAGCACCTAGTGTACCAATTACATTCCTTACTGTATAAAATAACCTCCACATAAAGGACACCTCTGTATAACAGAGACACAGTGTCCATTATATAGAGGCTAGTCTGCATACATGTAATGCCAATACTTGTAATATACTGATTCCTCTTCTCCTCCCTCCAGTGGCTCAGGATAGAAACATAGGCAGCAGCGACATGTTCCAAGACTTCATGTTATCTTGTCAACAAGTACTTCAATACTTCCATTTTAAGAGTGATCATAATCTTTACAGATATCGAGTGGTGAGGAAGACAAGGAGGTGGAGATTGACGTGTATCTTAGCAACGAGAAAAGCAAAAAGATTAAGTTTTCTTCTTTCGACAGGTCACCTCACGTCCTAGAAGTAAGTTATTGGATGTAGGAGATGAGAATGATGTGATTGTTTTATGGATTGTTTTTTATTCTGTGTTAATATAACAATTACTTGCACGCTTGACTTGTTGTTACAGTTACAATAGCTACATAAAAGACGACCATCTTTAGTACTTCCTTATCCACCATTGGCTAATTTTATTTTTAAATTATTTAGGAATTTAGGCTGAACAATGTTATTATTTTATGGTTTAATATTATAAATAGTTAATAACAACAATACAGTATACTTTTATTAATTATCATTGGGCTTTTAGGCTACTTGTAAATCAATCGGAGTATCGGAAGATTTGACACATTATTTTGGATTATTCATGGAATACTCTATCCCTGGAGATAAATGGAAAAGTGAATAACATTATTTATTTATTTATTTATTTGTTTGTTTGTTTAGCATTGCATTGTCTCAGTGATTTCCAGTGTCCATATCTCTCACTGTGTGCAGCCAATCGAAGTGAAGACTACAAGTTTAGACTTACCATCAAGAAATGGTTAGTTTATACTGCTAGTATTATCCATGGCCGTAACTTGAAAATTCCAGCTCGGAATCAGCTCAAACTTTCTATGTAATACAAGTACATCAATATGTATCAGAAAATGTAATAAAAATTTGGGGTGATTTCGGAGTCATTTTTTGGAAAAAACCATGGGCTATAGTACAGGGAAATTTTCAGAAATTGGTTCGTTTTTTAAAATGGCCGTAACTCGAAAATTTGAGCTCGGAATTGTCTCAAACTTTCTAGACAGCATAAGTACATCAATATGTATCAGAAAATGTAATAAAAATTTGGGGTGATTTCGGAGCCATTTTTTGGAAAAAAACCATGGGCTATAGTACAGGGAAATTTTCAGAAATTGGTTCATTTTTTAAAATGGCCGTAACTCGAAAATTTGAGCTCGGAATCGTCTCAAACTTTCTACACAACATAAGTGTATCAATATGTATCAGAAAATGTAATAAAAATTTGGGGTGATTTTGGAGCCATTTTTTGGAAAAAACCATGGGCTATAGTACAGGGAAATTTTCAGAAATTGGTTCGTTTTTTAAAGTGGCCGTAACTGGAAAATTTGAGCTCGGAATTGGCTCAAACTTTCTACACAGCATGAGTACATCAATATGTATCAGAAAATGTAATAAAAATTGGGGGTGATTTCGGAGCCATTTTTTGGAAAAAACCATGGGCTATAGTACAGGGAAATTTTCAGAAATTGGTTCGTTTTTTAAAATGGCCATGATTTGAAAATTTGGCTCAAACTTTTCACAGAGTGTAAGATAGTAATGAATATTGGTTTGTGGCCCTATAGCTGTAATTATTCCTGATATAATTAGTTTTTAAGTCTCTTCTATTCTGCCTGTAGGTTCTTCAGTCCAAAGTTCCTCACAGATTGTTTATCCGACAGTACTGCATTGAACATGATCTACATTGAGACTATAAGGGACATTGACACTGAGACACTGACAGTACCAGACTCCATTAAAGATAAACTTGTGTCTCTTAAGAAATCTGGCAAGAGAAAAGAAGTGAATATTATTATTGTAAAATTTTGTGGTGCCTCTAAATTTTTGTTGATAAGTCTACAAAAATTCAACTGTGTAATTTTATTTTTCCTTTATAGTTTATAGAGACACTCTCCTCCCAGCCTACATGTTTGTTTGGTTATAATTATTGTGAGGGACTTCTTTTTAACGATCAGAGTACATCCAGTGCTCTAGCAGGTGGAACTAAAATTGTATTGAAAGACATAGAGAAAGTGTATCCCATTTCTAAAATGAGGTGCTGGAAAGTCGGAGTACTTGTAAGAAAAACATTTAAACTATTGCACTTTTACTTTTTAAAATTTTAATTTTCTTTAGAGAGGTAACAGGGAACATTTCTTTTCATTTGAGTATGAGTACTCTCATCAAAAGTTTGTTTGGGTCGTCCTAAAGGGCGTGTCCACAATACTACTGGCCCAGTCCATCACTCGTGCAGTGGAGGAGTTCCTGGTCCTTAGCAAGAACAAGTCAATTAGAAAAGTAACTAACGTGATCCTCTTTATCATTATTAATGGTCTCCTTTTTCTTGTGATTTTTATCACAGCCTAGTGAGAACTTGTTTTCAAGACGTCCCGAGAGACCCTTCCCCTCATTTGAGCTGACCTTAGGTCCACCAGCTGGCGAGGACATTCACATGGCAGCAGCTGCTAGTGATAGTCAGAGCCCGTCCATTGTAAGGACTGAATCACAATCATCATCTAAAGTAATGTTACAAATATTAAATTAATTAATTAATATTGTTATTATTAGGATTCTGAAGTAAGCACAGATTCTGAAGAAAACAATACATCAAATACACGAGCCGATATTCACGTGACCACACCCACTGTCACGCCCACAACTAGTAATGAAAGTCCATCACTAGGAGGAGGAGGAGGAGGGACTTATGTAACATCTGGTTCTAGCAAAAAAACAAAATCCTCGGGAAATAAGAAGTCTTTAGTTCCAAATTATGTAAGTATGGACTGTACTAACGTATAGTACGAAAATGAATAATTTTTTAAATAAATTTTTAAGGTTAAATCAAAGAAAAAGGACGAGGAAGAGATTGCGTTTAATCCAACATTTCTATCAGATGCTGATTTGTAGCAGCTGGGACCCACCCTCACTCCATTAAAAGCAATTTGTAATTCTTATAAAATATTATGTACATGATGATCTGTTGGTAGTAATTTTTATATTCTTTTATTGTCACAATGTAAGTCAACATGTTTTTGACTTTAGAATTTCATTGTTTTAATTTTTTGTATGATTAATTTATAAAACATGTTCTCCATGAAAAGATATAAAATAAAATGTGCATTTTAATACACCAAAAAGAACAATATATAAAGTATTCCTTTAAAATTGTGTTTTTACTGATCCACTCAAGCAGTAACAGACACTATATTGTTGGCATTACTATATTGGCATGAAGTTTCTAAATCGACTGATTCATGAGCCAGTTATTCCTAGGAATGTCATTTTTTCCAAGTGTAGAAACTACATTAGAAGCCCTAAGTAAGCCTTAAGATTAGTTTCTACAAGAAAGTTGCCTGATGTCTGAAGCATCACTAAACCTACCTTATTATGAAAGAGTCCCTTTAACTCATTATATCAATGTAGACTGGGTCAAGGAACTGGTTCACTTTCCTGTCTCTACTGATGATCTGTTTATAGCAACTTATTTGAAGTCAGGAACAACTTGGACCCAACAGATAGTGTCACTCATTCAGACTGGAGGAGAGGACAGCTCTGAGCATGTATTTAATAATGTGCCATGGTTTGAAATGCTTGGAAAAGATGCAGTTATGGTAAGAAATGAAATATTGCATATAGTCTTGTAAAGAAACTTTATCTTGTATAAAACTGTCTTCAATCATGATACCATTTTGCTGCGTCTTCATTTAATCATTTGATGTACTCATGTAGGCTCTACCAAAGCCAAAGGCTATGAAAACCCATCTCTCCTATCACATGATGCCTGGGCGGGACCCAGCTGCAACTCCTGCTAAATATATTTACGTTGCACGTAATCCGAAAGATGTTGCTGTATCATTCTATTTTCACTGCCTTCGCTATAAATGCTACAAGTTTACAGGTAGCTGGAATACATTCTTTGAGCTGTACATGAAGGGAGAGGTGGACTTTGGTCTTTGGTCTGATCATGTACTGGAGTGGTGGAGGCACAAAGGTACATGAGCTACATTCATTAAAGAATGCGTAGTTGTAGTAAATGTGGTGGCCTCTGATATACAATTTAATAATCTATGTGTGAATTCATCATTTCAGATGCTGATAATATATTGTTCTTGAAGTATGAAGACATGAAGAGAGACCTTACAAGTGCAGTACAATCAATAGCAGATTTCATGGGATCCGATCTTAATGAATCCATCATACAAAAGATATCAAGGAAATGCTCTTTTGAGAACATGAAATTGAACCCTCTAGCAAATCCTGATGATCTTCTAGAGGTAAAGGTCAAAATTAAAAATGATGCCTCCAGTGGTTTCCTACGTAAAGGGGACATTGGAGACTGGAGGAATTACTTCAGCAGTGAGCAGTCAGTGAGGGTTGATGATGAGTTTGTTAAGAAAGTTGCTGAAAGTGGATTGGAATTTGATTATGACTGAAAACATGAAAAATATTTGAACTTCTTTTAATATTATTATAGTATTTGGCTACCGTTTTCATTAATGAAAAATCAGATGAAATAACTTTTTGAGTTTTAAATAATTTTAATCGCGTCCATTAATTGTTTTGTTATACTTTCACTGAGAGAGTCCCGATTGAACTCAGTGACCTAATTATCAGTACAAACAAAGAAATATTTAATTATTTATTATTATTATTAATACCTCTATTAAGGAACAGTCTTGTCTCCTTTTAATTTCCTCAACAACTGCTAAACCACGTCCCTTAGACAGAGGCACTGTTGCCAGAACAACAAGATCCTTTTGATCAAAAACTCTCTTGATTGCTGTCGAAAACGGTTTACTAAACAGCTCCATTTTCCCAATCTCGTCCAATACTAAAACTTGTTTTGTTGAAAATGAGTCGTTCACAATCGGCAGGACACATTTCTCAAATGATGAAACATCTACAGTGTAACGTCCTACAACTGGAGCAGCTGCATCGTGTGACCTAAATTTCGACAAGGTTTTTTTGATATGCATTAGTATAATAATTATTATTAATTTTTCATTAATCATACCCGTTATTCTTTAATCTTGCTAAAGGTGATCTGTGTCCATCCAACGTGACAACATCAAACCCAACCCTACCTCCTCCTCCTCCTCTTCTGTGATCATGATGTTGGCGTAACTCTTGAGTATAGAAACCAGACATTTTGATTCCTTCTTTTCTTAGACCCTGACATATTGATTGAACCAGTGTTGTCTTACCAATCCCTAATGCCACATGGTAACTAATACATGATAAATACTGTCTCTCTCTACCTGGAGGACCTGTAATTAATACATGTTTGCTGGAGCTGGCAGAAGCCATTTTAGTTTGGCGGGTTTTGGCGGGTTTTGCTGAGTGGGTGTGGCTCAGTTTAGATCTACTTTAGGTCCGCCTATTAAAATGGAGTCAGTATGGGCAGTTGTATTATCTCTTGTTTATTCTTTAGTGGCTCACTTCATCTGCTATCAAGCGATAAAGAACTTTAAAGATATGTTTATAAAGGCAGGGATGTTTGGCAAAGACCTCAACAAGACAAGTGAAGAGAAAATGTAAGAATTGCTAAACCATGAAAGCCATTTTAAAAACAATCCAACCCACAGTCCTGAAGGTCTTGGTGTAGTTTCTGGTGCCATGTTCCTCATTAGCTGCTTCCTTTTCATTCCGATTCCTTTCCTTGACTATTCCGAGCTGCAGGTAAGCCCGTTACCATGGTAACGCATCACATGATCTCTCCTCCTCCAGTTCACCCAGTTCATCTGTGCCCTCCTCTCAATCTGTTGTATGATATTCCTTGGATTTGCTGATGACGTTCTTGATCTAAGATGGCGTCACAAGCTCTTCCTACCCACCATTGCCTCTCTCCCTCTCCTAGCAGTTTATTTTGTCAGCGGAGGCTCTACGACCATCATAGTTCCGATACCTCTTAGGCCCCTACTGGGATACGACCTTCATTTAGGTAGCTATTGTGTAGCGGGTGGTTTTAGAGGAACTAAATCATTGTTGTAGTGACCAGCTGGTTTTAATTTGGCCAGTTTGCTGCCATAAGCTTTTAAGCATGTTCAAAATGATTCAAAATGGCGGGTTTTATTTTGACGATTGGCCATAATTTCCAAATTTTTAACCCCTCCAAATATATTATTGATATTATTCTTCCCCTCCCTCCCTTTCTCTTCCCCTCCCTCCCTCTAAAAGGTGTCCTAGTATACATATACATGGGTATGCTAGCTGTGTTCTGTACTAACGCGATTAACATACTGGCTGGTGTCAATGGAGTCGAAACAGGTCAATCTGTCATCATTGGGACCTCCATAGCTGTATTCAACGTCATTGAAATAGCCAGAGATCAGTTTGCTGCTAAGCATCTCTTTTCTTTGTATCTCATATTACCATTCATTGCTGTATCTCTTGCTTTACTCAGACATAACTGGTAAGTGGTAAGCACATATACAACCTTGTACAGGGACTTGGCTTGATTTCGGAGCAACTTTAAAAATTTGTAAAAAATCTAAATTTGATCAGAATCAGCTGAAATTTTTTATGCAATATAAAAACATGTATATGTACCAGAAAACATTATAAAAATGGAGAATTTTCTCCTTTTCATTTTTGGTGAAATTTGGCTAAAGACCCTGTACTATAGTACAGGGACTTTTACCTGATTTTGGAGCAACTTTAAAAATTCATAAAAAATCTAAATTTGATCAGAATCAGCTGAAACTTTCTATGCAATATGAAAACATGTATATGTACCAGAAAACATTATAAAAATGGAGAATTCTCTCCTTTTCAATTTTGGCAAAATTTGGCCAAAGATCCTGTACTATAGTACAGGGACTTTACCCAATTTTGGAGCAACTTTTGAAATTTGTAAAAAGTTCATTTTTGATTGGAATCAGCTCAAACTTTTTACACAACTTAAGAACATGTATATACATTTATGTGTCCAGTGTGTTGTTGTTTATGATAATTATTTTACTTTTCATTTTTAGGTATCCTTCAAAAGTTTTTGTCGGCGATACTTTGTGTTATTTTGCTGGCATGACTTTTGCTGTGGTAGCCATTTTGGGATCTTTTAGCAAAACAATGCTTTTGTTTTTTATACCCCAGGTTAGCAAGAGAGAATCTGATTGGTCGGTTCAGATCACATGATCTCTTCTTTAGGTTTTCAATTTCCTTTATTCTGTTCCCCAGCTGTTTGGTATAATACCCTGTCCAAGACACCGACTGCCAAAGTATGCCTGAGAATCAGTGTTAGTTCTAGAAATAGGTTTGGGAGACCAACCTAACTGTAAATGATAGATTTTAGGAGACCTAGACCAAATATGAGAGACCAAAAGTCACCTAAACTCCCTCTAGATCTAACAGTGTATTTATAATATTAATATTATTTCTTCCAACAGGTTTGATAGAGCTACTGGACTCTTAGGAATGAGCTATGCTAAGTTCTCTCCCGACCAGATGGGTCCTGGTGGAGCCGCTCTTTTAAAAACCCTCTCCTTCTTACGATTAGCCAAAGTCGAGTGGTCCCCGCCCTCAGGGAAAGAAAAGAAGGCGGAGATTAGCGTCAATAATTTGACTATTATTAATTATTTGCTTAAATTTATTGGCCCCACCCACGAGAGGACCCTCACCATATACATAATGACAGTACAGGTAAAACTGGTTTGACTGGTTTTCTTTATAATTACTCTCTCTCTCCTTCATTAGGTGGTAGGTACTATTATTGCTTTTAGTATAAGATACGGGTTTGTGAGGTTTTTCTATGACGTGGTACAATAACAGTGATTGTTTTTTCTCTTCTTATAAAATGATACACTTGCATTTAATCCTGTAAAATGCTATGAAAAATAATAATATACTGTAGTAAAACACCACAGTAAAGTAATGAGTAATGAGTAGATAATGAGACGGTTTATATAGCAATAGTAAATGTTACTCCTCCACTTTTACCACAAGGAATAACTTAAATTGCTCACACCCAAAAATTGCTAGCTTGCAATGAAAGAGGGAGGATTCTTGTTGCTGTCCATTCTTCTTTCAAGCCTAGTCCTGAACTGCAAGGCAATCACTATAGAAAGAATTCCATCATCAAAGTATGTAATAGCTTCTGAAGGTGAAGATGTATTGATATACTGTCTCACTCTTAATATTGACATGTCACAAGCTCAAACATCATGGAGCATCCAAAAAATTGGAGAAAGCATGTTTACCCCATTGACATTCAATGGGTCTACTGGTGAAGTCACATTACCATCAGAATATATAGGGCAATTGACAGCAGTTGGTGAAATAGTACAAGGATTTAGTCCAACAAGGACATTTCAAACTAACTTTACTTTATTGAACTTCACTGGAGAGTTTGATTTAGCTCAGATTCTTTGTGGTATAAGGAATCCTAACGAAAATTTTGTGTATACCATAGGACTACCAGGTAACTTAATTATAAAATTAAAAAATTAAATCAATAGATGTCTCATAGCTACTCCATCTCTTCTGACAAGTGGCTCTGTTCAAACAGTAGGAGAAGGTAATGTTGTAAGTGTTAATCTACAGGGAGGACCACCCAATGCATTCCCTCCAACTATAACATCTTCACAATTATCATTAAATGGTAATCCTGTATCTAACACTGGAGT